GGGGGGGGGGGGGGGGGGGGGGGGGGGGGGGGGGGGGGGGGGGGGGGGGGGGGGGGGGGGGGGGGGGGGGGGGGGGGGGGGGGGGGGGGGGGGGGCGGGGAGCTCCTCAGACCCCAGCAAGTGTCCCGCTTCCCTTCTAGCGACCTCACCACATTACGGCTTCCCATTGAGCCAGGGATTTCTTTTAGGTTACTGATTTTAGAAAACTTTGTTATGGCATTTGGGAAGTCCACGTGAACACAGATAAAGCAAAAATGACCTCAGTTTCACATAGCACTTGGAATCAATCCAAATTGCTTACCATGGCCTGTGCGCTCTGCCTGCTCACACGTCTTCCTACTGTTCCTTCTCCCTGCACTTTGCTCAGTCTTTCTTTCTGTTCCTTGAACTTTTCCTCCCCACTTCAGAGCCTTTGCACTTGCGATTCCCTCCACCTGAAAAGCTCTGCTTCACCATTACATGGTTGTCTCCTTTTCAACCAGGTCTCAGCTCAACCAGCCCCTCCTGAGAAAGGCCCTCCCCCGCTGTATTAGCTAAATATGCTCCACCTCCTGACGTGTTCTAACACATTATTCTATTTGTTTCAGGAAGGATTTACTTGTTTTTGATCTGCCTTTCTAGAATAGAAGTTCCACGTTATCTTTTTGTGCATCACTTTTCTCAGTGCCTAGTTCAGTGTCTGGCACATGCAGAGCTCAATAAACATTTGTTCAATGGAAGATTGAATGAAAGCATTTCTCATTAACACAGTTAATCTCTTTGAAAATGTGAAATTCATAATTGATGTCACAGTTCCTCAAATCACCCCAAATCATTCTTTCCCTAGCCAGAGTGCTGTCCTACAGTAAAATAAAACATGGCACTAGAATCCCACTGTCTCCTACGTGCTGGCCCAGGTCTCAGCTGCCACTCACCTGCGATTACTGCAGAGCTCCAATCTGCTTTAGACGTGTCATCAGTTCCCCACTTTGTTGCATAGTTATTAGATCACTGCACCCACCTATGCAATTTTTGCCGATAAAGACTCGAGGCACCTGAAAAAGCAAACCACCCAGTTCATTTAGGGAACTTAATTACTAGTAGATTAGAGAGAATAATATTTTTATCCTTCTAAATATTTCCCATGAATCTGAACTTTTCAAATCACATTACAACCTCCTCCTATAATCTTACAGGACAGGATCTTTCTTACTGTTACAAGGGTAAAATTATTCATTATAGCCAGGATATTTTTCAATTTGAACATGCTGTGCATGAATGAGATTGTTCAATGTATCAAAGGGATTTAAAGATTTCACTCCACAGCCACATGTTTCAGGGAGAGGATTTTGATTGGCTGCAGCAGACCACCCTGATTGAATTCTAGTTTCTCTGCAGCTGGGACCACACCTGAGACCATAAGCTGGACCACAGCAAACAGGAGGAAGTTCATTTCTAAATACAGCTGGAAAGGTATTTTCATTAGTTCTCTCTCCCTGACTTTTTAGGTCTATGGTTTATTAAATATAGTCATCTCTGTTGTGTTTTACAGGTGCTTGGGCTGGCCAGTTAACTCACTTGGTTAGAGCATGGTATTATAACACCAATGTCAAGGGTTCAGATCCCCTTTCCAGCCAGCTGCCAAAAAGAAAAACAAAAACCACAGGTGAGCTCTGTCCTCAACTAGGGGAGGAGGTCATGGTGTCTGAGTCTACTTCTTTCATCCTTGGTCCTTCATAAGATGCTTAAATGCTGCAATTCTGGGACTAAGGACATCACCTGCTTTGGCTCCACACCTAGCATGGGCAGGCCACTCAAAGCAAGCCAGGCTGCTGTAGTCATCATACCTGCTGAATGGGTTCCTCTCTGATCACACTCAACACTCCCTCCCTTCCTGCTAGGGATAGGCAGACTCCAGAATTCCAGAGGGCTTCTAGAATCCTGAGGGAGGGGGAAGTCCCCTCACTGTGGCCACTTTGCAGGCCAAAGGGTGTCGCACGAGGCTGACAGGCTGAAGAAATGAGCACGCTACAGGTCACCTGAGTGAGCAGAAGCAAGTAGGCCCCCTCACCGAATGCTAGAACATAACAGAGTCTGAAAGGCAGAAAGCGGTGAGAATAATTCAGAGCTTTTGATTTTCCTCAGAAGACAAAGTAATTCAAGTGAATTGTTTTAAAAGTGAGAAAGATTAGAAAAGGGCCAAATTACTGTGGATAAGTTCGTATAGTATTTTTATTAAGAAGGGGTTCCAAGTGGAAGCAGGCTAAGAAGTAAAAAGAAATCCTGCACCACATTTCCATCGCTATTTCCTGTGCCCCGAGAGAGAGAAAAAGCCCATGCCGGAGACTCCATTGCCGGGTGATGTCCCACTCAGTCACGCCCTGGCTGTGGGAGGCTTTGTAAATGGAAAGGGCCATCAACTGAAAGAAGAAAGGTGCAGAAAGATGAAGTGAGATACCTCAATGTCCCCCTGAATCTTGGCCATTATTTCAGAGAAAATAAAGTTCCCCTCATCCAAATTGTTGGGGCCTTTTAGCTTCTGTCTGCCCAGAAACATTGGCCATGGTCAGTTGTAACAGTAAACAGAACAGAATCCTTAAGTAATTCTAATGTTATAAACTGCACAGCTCCTTCTCTTGAAGGCATCGCCTAATTAAATAAAAACCATCTGAGCTTTAAACAAGGAGGCGATGTATTCATTCTGGAACTTCCATATGTTCAAAAAGAGGTGAGCAGTCATCACTGCTCCTACAGTTTGCCAACATCTCCACCTCTGACGGGGTGCTGGCCTCAGGGTCTGAGTTAACTTAGTTGGTGAGAATGCCCTGAAGAGCCCGGAGACCTCTCCTTAGACAGTGGTTCTCCAATGTGAACACGCATCAGAACCAGGGAAGGGCTTGTCAAAACACTGATTGCTACTCCCCACCCCACCCCCATCCCCAATTTCTGACTCAGGAGATCTGGGTTGGGGTCCAAGAATTTGCATTTCTGGGCCGGCCCGTGGCTCACTCGGGAGAGTGCGGTGCTGATAACACCAAGGCCACGGGTTCGGATCCTATATAGGGATGGCCGGTTTGCTCACTGGCTGAGCGTGGTGTTGACAACACCAAGCCAAGGGTTGAGATCCCCTTACCAGTCTTTTTTTTTTTAAAAAAAGAATTTGCATTTCTGGGCCGGCCCGCGGCTCACTCGGGAGAGTGCGGTGCTGATAACACCAAGGCCACGGGTTCGGATCCTATATAGGGATGGCCGGTTTGCTCACTGGCTGAGCGTGGTGTTGACAACACCAAGCCAAGGGTTGAGATCCCCTTACCAGTCTTTTTTTTTTTAAAAAAAAGAATTTGCATTTCTAACAAGCTCCCAGGTGCTGCTGCTGCTCCAGAGATCACATCTGTGAACCATTAGTTTACACTAACAGCCTCAGTTATTCCTCCCAGGTGACTGAGGCTTTGAAAACCCACAGCACTACTATTACCCCCAGCCACCTGAGACAGGGCCTGGAGCACGATCAGCCGGTCCCCAGGGTGGATTTAGTGCACAGCACCTGGCAAAGAAACGGGGCTGCCTGAGCAGGAAGTCTGCGCTGCCTTCACGCCCACCCTCTGGTCTGGGCAACAGCAAAACTGCCTTCCATCTGACCGGCTGATGGCACTCCTACAGGGAGCTGAACTGCAGGCTGCACAGGGCAGCGTGGGGGGCCTATGGTGATGCAACAGGAAAGGCAGAGGCACTGTTGATTCAGCTGAGGAAAGGAGAGGAGACTCCCTCTGCTGCCTCCCCTCCAGGTCCATCCCCTGCCTTGGAGGAACTTGAGTCTGTTACCATCAAGGAGGACAGAACTGCCATCATACAAACAAGTTTAGTAATACTGGGGCCCTTACTCTCCTGGAGGAGGTGTCCCAGCCTCTGCAAGGCAGCATCCCCTACACTCTAGGGTTACTCAGATGACACAATGCAAAGCTATTTCCCAATACTCTTCACCACTTCCTGGCTACCTGTGGTGCAAGCCATCGTTATTTCTGCCCTGAATTACAATGTCTCCCAGCTACAACCTGGCCTCCTACAGTCTCTTCTCCCCACAGGTGCCAAAGTGAACCTTTCAAAACTGAGTCAGACTGAGTCACTCCTCTGCTCAAATCCCACCAGTGGCATCTCATCTTGCTTTGACTACACGCCACAGTCCTTATGATAGATTGAGAGGCCTGCCTAACTTCTCTCCTGTTATCTCTCAGATCCCATCGCTTCTTACTCTTCTACTAGCTCACAATGGTCTAGCCATACTGGCCTCTTCACTGTTCCATGACCCAGCCAGGCACACTTCTACCACAGGACCTTTGCACTTGCTGTCCCCACTGTCTGGAATGCTCCACCCCTGAACATCTGTGCCTTTCTTCCTCACTTCCTGTAGGAATCTACTCAAGTGTTCCCTTCTCAGTGAGCACCAGCAGCTCCATTTAAAATTGTAGCCTGCTGCCTACACGTATCTCCCTTTCCTACTTAATTTTTCTTAATAGCACATCACTTACCACCTCCCAATGTACTATTTATTGTCTCCCCTACTAGACTGTAGGTTCGACAAAAGTTTTTGTTTGGGAACATAGCCACAAAAAACAATGTCCAGAAAAGTGCCTGGTATATAATAGGTACTTAAAAATATTGGTTGTATCTGGCAAAATCCTTCGAATATGAAGGAAAAATAAAGACTTTCTCAGATGAACAAAAATTGAGGGAATTTGTTGTCAGTAGAACTGCCTTGCAAGAAATGTTCAAAAAAGTTCTTTAGGGAGAAGGAAACTAATGTAGGTCAGAAACTCAGACCTACATAAAGAAAAGCAAAGCATTAGAGAAGGAATAAATGACAGCACTGATTTAGCAGCTGTGGCTACTATAGCAAAACCATGTCCTAATTGAAGGCATTAGTTTCTGTAATCAGTCAAGTCCTGCTGAGCTCCTGTTATATACACAGACCATAGGTCACTACAGGATAATTCAAGACAGCAACTGCTCTCAGGTTTTCGATCTCTTTGAACATAAGCACTTCACTGTTGGGTAACACGAAGAATACAACTTTAAAGGATTTGTTCTTCCCCCTGGAGCAATGCATTCAGGACTCAAGAATCTGTAAAAAAAACATTTTTAAAAATTTAAAAACAAACTTAAAAGACCACTACAAAAATTGTTGCTTTACAAAGAAATGGGAAAAAAAAATTGTTAAATGAATGCATGAAGAGGTTTGCTTTACCTGCTAGAGAACAGATGCAGTAATGTAGTTCCCAAACTTTGTTGCAAATTGGAATCACCTAGGGATCTTTCAAACTACTGATGCCTGGCTCCCATCTCCAGCATTGTGATTTAATTGGCATACGTATGACTTGGTGCTAGAATTGTTTAAAGAGTCCCCAGGTGATTCCAATGTGCAGCAAAGTTTGGGAACCACTGGCTGAGAAGGACCGAGAGTGGGAGCCACAGGGGGGTTTTGTGGCAGTGTCTGCACTGCCCTTTCCCTCCCAGAACCCGGGCCCTGTGCAGTTGGTGGTCCCATTAAGCCACAACGGCCTCATCTGTTACAGAACCTCAGCTCATAACAATAGGTTAAGCACATTTAGCTTCCCTCTGCACCAAAAGGCTGATTTCTGATTGGAAAATAGGAAAGCAACCTCCAGTATTTTGTACTCAGGACCTTGCGAAAATCCTGTAAGTCAAACAGAAACTGAAATAGGATATGTGCCTCTGTGAACACTGGGTCCTAGAATATGCCCTGGAAGGGAACTCAGGTGAGGTGGTGAGCTCTCTCACCCCGCCCAGCCCCAGAGCTGATATGGGTGATCTGGCTGGCTGGGCATCCCACCAGAAGCCCAAGCGCTGAGGAAGGAGTCTTTGCTGATGGAAGACAGCTGTTTTTAGAAGATCCCACAGTATATTTGTAGCAAAGGACACTTCGAGGTCACCTACTCTAATCTGGTCTTGCAGCTGGGGTCTTTGAGGATCAAGGTGGTGACTTGCCCAGGATCACACAGCCAGTCACGTGAGAGTCAGGCCAGAACTCTGGCCTAGAGAGTCCCTGCTATCATGAGCCTGAAAATGTCCCGTATATAATTTAGAACCAGGGACAAGTAAGGGGGCTTAAGATCTTTCCAGTAGGAGGAGTTAGATATGAAAGAAAGATCAAATTACGTGCTGGTTAAAGAAAGCCTGAAGACTGAAGGACTGCAAGTCCCACTCAGCCATGTGAAAACAGAAAAGTGCATATGGTTCCCCGGTTAACAGAAATGTACAGACCACACCCGGCCCCTCCACCTGACCCTCAGCCCTGCCCGCTGAAAACTGTCATTTCACGTCAGTACTTAACACAAAGACTCTGGGGAACTCCTTGGCGACTCCCAGACAAGCTGTTGTCACTGCCCCTGACACACAGCACACATCAGCTGCCTCCCTCCTCTGCTCCCAGAGGACTGCTGGCTGCACTCCAGCAGCGCATTCAAGTGACCCGTGTCTTCTCTCTGGCGCCCTCCCCCACACTCCGCAAAGCCCTCTGGATGCCTTCAAGGCGGGAGCCCTGGCGGTGCCCTAGAGAAAGGCACAGACGTATCGTTCACAGCCCCAACAAGGAAAAGCAACTGGGAGCCCTTCCCTAGCCTTTTAAAACTAAGCCCCACACTCACCGTTCTTGCTCCTGTGAGCTGTTGCAAATAATCTTGAATCTCATTTACGTCGTCAGTGGCTGTGATATCGACAAATTCCAGAACCCCTTGTTTGAAGGGCAACTGACTGAGGATCTCTTGGGTCTTTTTACAGTAGGGGCAGGTGGGCTTGATGAACACGACCACCTTCCCCGGCTGGATTTTGCTGTTCACAAACTCGTGAGCCATGCTGACAGGCTGCAGTCTCCCCGGGAGGAATCCTCAATTGCAGGAGCTGCTCTATTGCTCGGGGTGTGAAACAGCCAGCCAGCTGGCTCCCATCTAATAAGGAACCTCCCTGGAGGAGGAGTTTGCCCGGGAGCACGCTCGAGATTTAAAGGGACAGCTCCAAAGTTATTTGAGCTTGGTGAGATTCACTAGTTAGCGAAGCCTGTGAATGCATACTTAATCATTAGCAGCTGTGGCCAGGGCATCTTCATTATCCTTAGACCATTGGGGAGTGCAAAGGTCAGAGTTAAGTCACCCTTGGGGAAGCATAAGGTGTACAGACCGGCCTCAGGGAGGGGGCTGAGGAGGGAGTAACCTCTTCGAGCAAACTCTTTGTTTTGCCTACTGGAGACACAATTGGTTTTAAAAACGAAACAATCACTCAAACAGAAAGCTTCGAAATCTCTTTAGAGGAAGTAAGATTGAAATTGTGACTTTGCATCCCGTGTGGAGGTTGCTCCCAGGGTGCTTTGCTCGGTCGGTACAGTGGATGTTTGTTGTGGTGATTGTTTTAATAGAATTGGGTCCCAGCATTTAAAAATCTGGAGATTTCACAAAAAAATCTGGACGAGTAACTTTTCTTGGAAAAGTCAGGTGGGACAACATAAGCTCACATTCTTTGGTGGTGTCAGCTGTGGCTGAGCAGTTGTCCCCTCTGGGCAGGGCACATCATGGCTCCATTGCTGCAGGTCCCATCTGGCAGGCCTGAGTGGTCACCTGCTTCACCCCATAAGCATTTGGTGACCCTTGAACCACAGTGTAGTACGGGAGCAAATTCCAACACAACCCCTGATTTCAAACTGCAGATTAAATGAGGCTCTTTTTCTCTGCTTGCCCTTCTGATTATGACCCTTTGCTTGCACAGTTGTGAGTGGAAGTAGTGTGTCATCACTCCCCGATTCACCTCAGGTGCTGTAAGTAATAGATCTGCAACATAACCAGCGCCACTTTAGACAAGCCCAGGTACAAAGTGGCACCGCCCACCTCCTCCCCTCTTCCCTTTAGGAGAAGCCTCCTGACTTAAACAGAAACCCCTTTTGCTTCCCAAGGACGCAGTTCTCCACCCCGATCCACATTAGCATAATGTGATGGTATTGATGGTATCAGCCAGCCCTTGGTGCCCTATATAAGCTCTACCACCCCCACACCTGGTGCTGTCCCCTATTTTCAAGGCAGCCCCAGGCTGTTCCCCACCTTGAGCACAGCCCGGCAGATTCTTTTCCTTTAACAAAGCTTGAACAGTACCCGGCATCTCGGCTCACTTTCTTTCAGTGAGACACCAGGCCCGGCTGCAGGACTAGAATATTTGTTTTTGTTCTTCCCTAGGGTGCCCATTCTCCCTACTGGGCAGAGCAACAGCTTCTACTCCTGGGTCAAGTTCTGACCCATCCGGTGTGCCTGCAGTAAGTTAAATAAACAAATCAAGGAAAAACCATCTCTTTTAAAAGTGAATCATTCCCCCCCTCCTCGCCAGGCAGTTTTACACTGAAGCCAGAGTGTCCTCAAAGGGGTGGGGCCGGAGCCGGAGCTGGACGTCACCAGGGTCAGGTCATGTTGGTGGAATCCCAGCACACTGTGATGGAGAGAAGGGAGGACAATGGACTCCCAGAAGCAGCTTTTCCTGTGGCTCTATTTGTGACTAAAATTAGAATGGCACCATGAGAACCCCAGATTCTGAGTGGCAGAGAGGGAGCCGGCTGAGAGCTCTGTCAACAGAACGAACGTGGTGGGCTGGGCGCAGGGACTGCCTGACTGGGAGCTTCACTCCCCTCCAGAAGGAGCTCGGTGACATAGTCTAGGTCTCTCCTCCCCGATTCCTCCCTTCGTCTCAGGCTCCTGTGGTCAGGCCCTCCCTCCAGAGGCCTCGCTGAGGCCCAGGTCTCTGTAGGCCTCATGTCCACGCTGCCCAGGCTCCTCAGCTTCTCCTGTACCTGGCTGTTTCCTCAGAGCCTTTCTCTTCTTGGTGTCTGTTGTTAGTTTCTCCCTTCCCACAGCTTCTTTTTTCCTCAGCATGTGGCTCTGTTCAAGTCTCTCCCTTGTGGAAAACCACCACCACGACCGCCTGCTTCTGTTTCCTGCTTCCTGCCTCCTTCCTTTTGCAATACTTGCTGTTGTGTTTGCTCTCCATGCTTTTCTCACCTCCCGCTCTTTCCTTGTCTCATTGCCAGCTGACCTGCTTATCAACCTTCTGCCTAAACTCCTTTGGCCAGAGTCAGTTGCGACCTCTGCATTGCTGAGTCACCCTGAAGCTGGCTTTCCTGACTGAGCCTCACCCACAAGTCTGGGTGTGGAGTTTTTGGTAAACTGCTGGAGTGAACCTCCCAAAGGACCTGTTTGTGTACGGCCACTGGGGGTTTGGGTACCCAAGGCAGAGGCTGGGATATGGGGGACTATGTAGGGACTCTACTGTCTGCCTCAGAGCTCAACGCAGGGCCCTGGTGTCTGAAGCCTGAGGACAGATGGCCACAAGGCACAAGCTAAAGGAGGCATTTTTGTAAGGCACTATGTGAGACATAGGGGACCGACAGATGGCCAAGGGGGGGTGTCCTCTCCATTTCTCAGAAAATGCTGTGGCTTCATCTCAGTGGGACACTCAGAGCCCAGAACATTTTGCTGCACTGTCATCATGAATGTTTGTGGCTTTGGCACATCAGGGGTTGGAACCCAGGGGCATTTCGGTGGCGAGTCACAGTGGGGGCTGCAGAGGCCCTGTCCTCAAGTGCTATGGAGAAAAAGAGGGTGTGTGAACAGCACATGTGGACACTCCTTGGGCTTGTGTGGGACACTCCCACCCACCACCAGGCACTCTCAGAAATACTTAGTGGGAGGTGAGGGCATGTTTTAGGGGAGAGGCTGTCCTGCCGTGCAGATGGTTGGCAACAAGCTAGTGATAGATGAGAAATGTGCGCTATTGCTATTAATGTGATCTCATTTGTACCCACAGGCTGGTGAGGACTGCAAAAATCTGGCCGTGAATGAGCATTTTTCAGGCTTTTTCCTTCCTTGGCCACTTTGTAGGATTCAACCCTGTGGATCACTGTCCCTTCTGGAAGCTCTCTTCTTCCCAATGCCAGCTGCAGCGTGATCTTTTATTCTTCCTGTATATCTGGATAGTCTGTCTCAGCGTCTTTCCTAAGAATTTTGCCTACGCATATGGTATATCCTGGGGCTTCATCTCTCACTGTGTAACACACCCTCCCTGAAAGATCTCATCTCCACGCATGGCTCTAGCCACCACCTTTCTGCTGATGGGCACCATGTTCATTATTCTGGTCTGGACCTCTCTCCTAAGCTCAGGAATGGATATCTTATTGCTGCTTACTAAGAAGACCCACCTGGGGGCTCCTCAGCCTCTCAGCCTTGGCAGGACCAGAGCTGGAGCTGCTCTCCTCTCTTCCATCTCTGCTTGCCCTCCAGCATGTACGTCATCTACGCTGTGGGCCAGGGCAGAAAGCTGGGGACCCCTTCACTGCCCTCTGCTTTCACTTACGCAGAGTGGCAAACACTGCTAACAAGTTGGCCTCCTGAGTACCTCTCCAGTCTGCACACACGACTGCCCCACTGGTGCAGTATCCATCGGTCCTTCACTTCATCTTGCAGGCCTCCACCTGGCCTCTTTGTGGCTCTACATTGCTGTTGGGGTGATCTTTAAAAATGCAAACCCTATCACCTCTCTTTTTCTTAAAAGCTTCCCATGTTTCTCCAGGACAAAATCCAGATTCCATAGTGGGGAAGTGGCTATGTGTGACTGCCTTTCCCCCACATTTCTCCTCAACTCCAGCTACGTGGACTCCAAGCCACACTTCCACCGCTCACACCTTCACAGCCTCGAGCCTGTGGCTCCGTGGGCCCAGATGCCCCTCCTTCCCATTTCTGCAGGGCTGACTCCTTCCGGTCCACCAGGATCCAGATCCAGATGGTGTGTAGCTCCTCTGGGAAATAGCCCCAAACACACACCTCTTTCCCAGCTGGATTGGGTGCCATGACACGCTGTGCCCCAACTCATAACATGTCGGTGTTCTTTTTAATTAATTTTCTGTCATCCACAGTGAGTTCCTTGAGGGAAGGGAAATCGCTTTCATCCCTGCATTACCAGAGCCCAGCAGATGAGTAGATACACACTGATCCACCCACCCATGCATCCATTCAACAAACATTTATTAATCAACTACCCTGGTTAGACACAAAGATCAATCACACACAGCCCCAGTCCTCAGGAGTTTATGTGAGTCCAGTGAGGGATCCAGACTTGGAAAATGGGCACAAGTGTTATAAAGTATTTTAGGCGGTGTAACACAAGTATGTATAGGCACCAGGTTAACTAAGAGAGTGGGCAATCCCACCTGAAGGTGGTCAGGGAAAGAGCCCATAACAAGGGAGAATTGGGCTGAAACTTGACAGGTGGGAAGAGGCTTGCGAACCTACAGATCAGGAAGAGCAAAAACAAAACCATGCTGGGCACTGAGCATGGACAGAGTATTAGGGGTTGAGGTGGGGAGAGGAGAGAGAGACAGCTGGAGAACAGGCAGATTATAGGGGTCCTTTATCAAGCTAGAGTGGGGACTTATACATAGGCAGCCAGAAGCCATAATAGGAATATTTTAAGCATGGACAGTTGTGCAACAAAATGTTTGGTGAAGTAGTGGCTGTGTCATGTCTCCCAAGGAACACAATGAATTACTAAATGCAGTTTGATCACGAAAGGGCTCTAAGGAGTGATGATTGCTTTGGAGCAGTCAAACTTTTCAGGGTCCCTCCATCCTAGTCCCTCACCCGGGGTCCAGACCTGGCTTCCACTAGGCTCGAAGTGGTGCAAAGGGGTAGCTCAGTGGTGGTGGGGCTGCCGTTGCTTGGGCATGCCCTGAAGATGCCCTAAGCTAATTGCAGCCATGAAGATTCTGGTTTGTGGCTGTCCCTGTTTTGAGTCTGATCCTGTTTGACCACAGAGGACCACTGACTCTGACTCTAATCATAGTCTCTCTGGACAGATTGTTTCCTCACCGTCTACACCTATGCAGGGCTGCTTGATG